CAAGGTCAAACTGACAGGCCTATAGTTCCCCAGGTCTACCCTCCAGCCCTTCTTGTAGATGGGCGTCACATTTGCTAGCCGCCAGTCAACTGGGACCTCCCCCAATAGCCAGGACTGTTGATAAATGATGGAAAGCAGCTTGGCCAGCTCCTCTGCCAGTTCTCTCAGTATCCTCGGGTGGATGCCATCCGGCCCCATGTACATCCAAGTGCCGTAGCAGGTCGCCAACCATTTCCTCATGGATAGTGAGGGCCACATTCTGATCCAGATGTCCAGCCCACAGGCTGAAGGCCTGAGAGCAGAATTAAACAGCTTTCTGCAAACCTGTGCCAGTCCTGGCAGGGACAGTTTCTGGGGTGAGATGGGATGTTGCAAGGGCCTGTACCCCTGGCATGTCAAACTGCCAAACCCCAGAGTTTTTTACAGCCACAGGCTCAGGACCAGGCACCAGTGCCGGCTACAGAGCATTTCTGGAGAAGGTGATGGGGGCCTCCTTGGGGAGAGCTGGAAGAGCTGGAGGAGTATGAGGGGCGTAGTGGCAGGAGGAGGGAAGGGAGAAAGCTGTGCTTGCCGCAGGGACAATGGCAAATTTGTCCTATTAGCAGCTGGTGCATGGGGCAAGTGTGGTGTAATTGCCTGAAGTAACTAGGAAAATAAAACTAACATTCACATTTTAAAGAAAATGTACAGCATTGAAGAGGCTTTCAGGGTAGGGCATAGCTGCATTACCTGAGCGTTCCCTAGGCTTCCAACCTTAAATGCTATCGTGCTGGGGAAACCTGGTGTGCTAGCCCTAAGGAACAGTACGGAGCATAGAGTGGAGTGGAGACACCACGGCTAGGCTCTGTGACCAGGTGGGGACTCGATTGTTCTTGTGCACACCAAGACCGATAAGCCACGCTTTTTGCTACCCTGAGCCAAGGACCTGTCATGTTTTGACAAATGCTGTACCCTAGTGTACTTTTGCTCATTATAATATCATTATAATACCAAAACACACCTCCATCCCAAAAGCGACCTGCCTCCAAGGTGCGACCACCCCTCACTGAGCATGTGCCCTGAATTTCTCGGAGCCTATTACTTTAAACGGAGACGGGAGAACTTTTTACCAATCATAACTAAGATATGCTTGACTAGAGCCACTCAAGCTCCACCTAAAAGATAGAAAATAATATAAATTGGCCTAAGAGAGTGTCGTGGTTCCGCTCGAGTGGGCAGCCGAGCTCCACCACAGCCGCTCTCTCACTCCCCCTCCTCAAAGAGGAATGGGGAGAAAATATGTGAAAGGGGCTCAAGGATTGAGATAAGGACGAGAAAATCACGCAATAATTAGTGTAACGGGCAAACCAGACTCAGCATAAGAAGACAGATAGTAAGATTTATTGCTCATTACTAACAAACTAGAGAAGTGAGAAACAAAGGAAAGAAACCAAAAGCACCTCCCCCCCATCCACCCTCTTCTACCTCCTCCCCCCGAGCGGCGCAGGGGAATGGGGGAATGGGGGTTATGGTCAGTCTACAGCGCTTCTTCTCTGCCGCTCCTTCTCGGTCACTCTCGTCCCCTGTGCTGTGGGGTCCCACCCACGGGATACAGTTCTTGACGAACTGATCCGGCGTGGGCTTCCCACAGACAGCAGCTCTTCCAGAACTGCTCCAGATATGGGTCCGTACCACAGGGTCCATCCCTCAGGAGAAAACTGCTCCAACCTGGCTCCCCTACGGGCAGCAGCTCCTGCCAGGTCACCTGCTCCTGCGTGGTCTCCTCTCCACGGGCTACAGGTCCGGCCCGGAATCTGCTCCGGCAGGGGTCTTCCACAGGCGGCAGCCTCCATCGTTGCAGGGCCACCTGCTCCACCGTGGTCTCCTCCACGGGCTGCAGTGTGGAACTCTGCTCCACCGTGGTACTCCATGGGCTGCAGGGGGACATCCTGCTTCACCATGGTCCTCACCACAGGCCGCAGGGGACTTCTGCTCCGGCGCCTGGAGCACCTCTCCCCCTCCTTCTACACTGACCTTGGCACCTGCAAGGCTGTTTCTCACTCCCTTGACTCTCCCGGCTGCTGTGTGGCGCAGCGGTTTTTCCCTGTCTTAAATATGCTCTCACAGAGGCACAAAACAACATCGCTTATTGGCTCAGATTTGGAAAACAATGGGGCCCTTCCCAAGCATGGGGCAGCTTCTAGATCTTTCTCACAGAAACCACCCCTATGGCCCCCTGCTACCAAAACCTTGCCACGTAAACCCACTACAGAGAGAGGGGATGTTAGGGAAGATACCATCGTCAGGGGAGATACCATCCCAAGGAAATACAACATCCTTAGGACCTCCTGACTCCTGGGACCAGTTGACGGGCTCTTCCCCCCCATTGGGATGCCTTTGGGTGAGATTTGAACACTTGGTTATAAATATTTCTAGAGTCTTTGATCCTTTTAACACATTAATTTCTAGGCTGTGCACCTGTAACACCTGTGTATTTCATGCATGCTAGCTTGCTTTTGCAGACAGCCACTATCTCCGGTAATCCAAAGAACCTGTGTACCTGTTGCTGTAATAAATCGCACTTGATTGAATTGTTACAGCTCTCATTAAACGCAACTAGGGCAAGGGTGGTTATATGTTACTGGTGAATCCGTGACTGTGGTAGTTCAGTGTTCTGAATCCAACCAGACCCCTGACGGTTAATGCATTATTGGTGAATCCGACTGGACCCCTAACAGTTAATGCGTTATTGGTGAATATCTGACCGGACCCCTAACAGTTAATGCATTATTGGTGAAATCTGTGATTGTGATAGTTCAGTACCCTGAATCCAACCGGGCCCATAACGGTTAATCAGCTACACCCCTTAACGTGACAGCAAGCATGCTGCCTTCTCCCAGGGCCACGGTCTGGGGAGTGAGACATGGCTCCCAGTGCCAGGAGGGGACTTCAGGGTCCACCTGCAGCACAGGCTGCCCCAGATCACTGCTGGATCCGTGACAGTTATCCCATGCATTCAGGAAATTCCATTGGGTCTGGAAAAGGTGGATTACAGGTCTAATGGTTACCCCTATGGCTGTCCTCAGGGTGGAAAAGCAGTGAGTGGTGGTGGAGGAAAGGCAGAAGGGTGAATCTACACAGGGGTGGAGGGATGGTCAGGCACAGCTTCTCCAGGTTGTTTGTCCAAGTACCTTGGGCCACTGCAAAGTGAAGTAGCCCTGCCATGTGCAGAATGATGAAAGCAATGCCTAGCAGAAATGGATTAAGGACCAAATTCTGGACAGAGTAACTTCCTGCAGCACTGAGTCCCATGGTCCAGTGAAGTAACCATTTGCCATTATCGGTTCCCACTGTCTGGACAGTGCCCTGTTCTTGTTGCCTGTGACTGCTTTGATCTTTTTAATTAATCTCATCTCTAATGTAAACACTCTTCAATCTCTATTGCAGCATCTCAAGGTCCTTTACCATTTCATCCCTAGACTCCACGTAATCCAATGCCATAGATTTACATCAAGGCATTATATGATTTTTGTTTTCATTCATCCACAATTTTTATTTGACCGTAAGTACACAGAGAGCAGAAATATCCTTCTAGTAACTCTGACATTTTGGGGGACGTTACAAATAATTCAGAACTCATCATAGCATTTAGCTATTAAAATGATCCCCATTAGAACCCCTTTAATTCCGTATCAGGTAATACGCATCGACTTTTCCATGTCGGTGCTGTGTTACCTCCTCATTATTTCTCCTGTCTTGGCCGAGGAAAGACTTCCAGCTCACATGTGCGTCTGTGCCAGGCACGCTGCAAGCAGCTGAGTGGCCCCATATGCTGACAGGCAGGTGCGTGCATTAATGCTTCCAGAAGCGAGACCCAGACTTGTGCCATCTGCAGTTGTGCTGTGCTGTTTGTCCTCCTTCTGGATCATCGCTTTTTTCTTTGATTCCATATAGACTTGCTAAGGAATATGAGCTCACAGGCACTGTCTCAGGTCTTAACCATGCTTTTGTGTTCACAGCCCTGTGTGTGGAGCTGTGGTGGGCACCGCCTTGACCCTGGAGGATTCTTTCCTCCTTGGGTGGATGGGAGGAAGGAACCCAACCATTTTCTGGCTGTGGTACCTCATGCATCTGTGGAGCTATGTGAAAACAGCGCCAATGCCTACAGGAGCACTGTCTGTTTCGATGTCACCGTTGGGTGTTTGGGGATCGCTATGGGATGCTTGCCATTTCCCAAAACACCTCTGTGTTTGGACTACCAGCCTCTGTGCCCAACAGCTTCCATGGGAAAATGGCCTCCGGACCATCAGCCTCTACACCCTTACCCTGCAGTGCAGCAGCTCCATGGAGGACCATGGACCAGGATGTCAGGGAGAAGCCATGCCAGGATGGTGGCCACCCACCCTGTCCCTATCCCAGTGGTGCTCTCGCTGTCACCCAGCATCATTTGCTCACCAGGAACAGCGAACACATTGCTGTGGCTGATCCTTCCCCAACACCACACTGACATGGCTGTGTCCTCCTCCCTCCACAAGCCACCACTAAGAACATAGCAGGCATGCGGGGGGGGAAGGGGGGGCAGTAGTGAAAGGAGGGAGTGCTGTTCCTTTAAGAACTATGGTGGGGGCGTATCTCCACCAGACTGGGGCGTGGTTCCACGGGGTGGGGGCGGGGCTACACAGGGGGTGGGCGAAGTCACACATGGAGCGGGCGTGTCTCCGCGGAAGAGCGGGCGTGTCTACACAGTGAAAGGGCGTGGCCACAAGAGGGGTAGGCGTGGCTATAAGGTGAATGGGCGTGTCCTGGTGGGCGGGGCGTGTCCCGGGGGCGTGGGGCGCGGCGCGGCGCGCTGAGGTCAGCGGCGAGCGGGTGCCGTCACAAAAGGAAGTGGCGGCAGCAGTAGGGGCCGGTACTGTGGGGCGGGGCGGGGGCTGGCGGCCGAGGCCGAGGCCGGCGGCGGCGGCGGCGGCGGCCGTGCTATGGCCCAGCAGCAGATGAGCAGCTCGCAGAAGGCGCTGATGCTGGAGTTGAAGTCGCTGCAGGAGGAACCGGTCGAGGGCTTTCGCATCACCCTGGTGGACGAGTCTGACCTCTACAACTGGGAGGTGGCGATCTTCGGGCCGCCCAACACCCTCTACGAGGGGGGGTATTTCAAGGTACGCCTCGGCCCGCTCGCCTGCCCGCAGGGCCTCCGACACAACCGCCGCCCCGGCCGCTGGTCTCTTTGTCTCCGCCGGGAGGTCCCGGCCTCTCCCCGCCAAGCCTCGGTGGGGCCGTGCCGTGCCCGGCCCCCCCCGGTGGCCGTTGGGAGCCCTTCTAGCTGGAGGCCTCGCCCCCGAGGGGTTGGGATGAGGCTGGGGGGTGAAGCCGCGGCTTCCCGGCCTTTTCTTCCTTTATTTTCTGCCTTTCTTTAATTAATTAATTTACTTTATTTTTATTTTTTTTTTTTACTCCCTCCCTGTGTTTTTAGCTAAAGCAGAGGCTCCGTGGTGAGGTGAGGCCCCCCCCCGGCTATGGTCACCCGCGGGGGGGACCTTGGTTGGGTGGTAGCTGGGGGTGCTGGCCTTCCAGGCTGTGCTTTTTGTCAGAATCTGATGGTGCTGCAGTGCTGTGCGTTGGGTTGTCCCCCGGTTGTCATTCTTTCCATCCCCAAACTTAAGCAGATGGCCCTCAAAGGGCTACAGCAATGCTTCGTGGGCAAAGGTAGATAATTGCTTTCAATTCCTCTCGATCTTCCTATTAGTCAAAAAAAAAAAAAAAACCAACAAAAAAAAACAACAAAAAAAAAACTTTTGTGGTTGTTATTTCCCCACTTGTAAACCCAGAAAGCAAGAAATCTGGCACCTCCTCACCCAAAAGGAACAAGACTTAAAGAAGGCTGGTGCATTTTCCTTAAAAGAACCAAAAGCTTTGGTGAAGCAAAAGATGCGTTGTGCTGGGCATCTCTCTCTGTGCTTTGTGGCTATTTGAGCTCTGGCAAAACCATGTCACTTGGCTTGTATCTCCCAGGAGTTATCGATTTAGTGGTACCTCTGACATCTTCCCTCTATTGCCAGTGCCCTTTGGCTTCTGTCAAACCAAACAAAAGCTCAGAGGATCTCTTTGCTTGTCTAGCATGCATCTTCGGTGCCTCTTGGCCTCTGAACCAGGGTTTAAGCACTCTGTCCCACAAAACCAAAATAACCTGTAGCTTGGGGAATAATGGATTTAGTCACGTTCAGTTTGGCCTCATTATTTGGAAGGAAGGGAAGATTTCGGCATGAGGCTTTCCTTTTGTAATGAGTTGGCTGGCTTACTCATGTAGGTGTGATATGTGTATTCTTAGACTCACCTCTGTTATTACTTTGTCAGGAAGTCCCTGCAGTCTTGGATTGGTAACTGAGCTATTTCTACATCAGAATGGACTGGTCACCTCTTCCTGTACTTGGATTAGTCATCATTTTTATTTTATTTTTTTTTTTTTTTCAGAGAAATTACAAAGATGTCAAAATACTTGGTTTAGGAGCCACCTGACCTATGCATTTGTAATTGTTCTTGGAAAGAAAGCCGAAGCAGCCAGTGGAATGACTTGAGGATGTGCCTCTAGCAAGTGCAGATATTGGCATGAGTGCTGGCGTTACTTTACCCCAGAGCTGTGATTGCGATGGCTCTTGCTGTTTGGTGTCCTTGAACTGTAGGGCCTTTTCCTCTAAATTCCTCTCCTGTTTGAGAGTGGGAGGTCTCATGATGCCTCCGTCCCCTCTGCAGCAGAGAATTCACTTCAGGCAGTGTGACCAGAGCCTGTCATATGGAGTTTCTGATCTCTCCTCTATAAGGAACCGTGCCTGCTCAGTTTGTTTTGGTAGTGTTCAGTCTAGTTATTCACCCTAAATTCTCAGCTCCTCAAAAAGCAGTCTTAGACGCAAATTTTCTCCCAAGAGAGGGTTCATGTTGTCCTGATCATGAAGTTCCTGACTTCTCTTTGTAGTGAGCCTTTAAGGCAAACCTTAAGGTATGTTAGGCTTGGCTTAGTGAACATTTTAGAGATGAGACGGGTAAAACTGAAACTTTATTTGGTGGAGTTAACTTCATGATGTACTCATATTTGAGTTGAATGCCACTTCAAATCACTACCTGATTTATCCTTAAGGTTTCTTGTTTTGATAACTTAAATATCTATCTATTCCGCTCTATGTTTTTAGTTTTCTAAGACTAGGTAAGTAGAACTTGAAATAATAGCAAAAAATAAAAGGTTACATTGTGTAATTGTGTAGAATTTCCTGGCAATGAGGGTTTGGCAGTTTTTCTTCCATTTGCTTGAGGTGTAGTTTGAGGACAGGGACTGGAAGGAAAGTACAAAATCTTTTGGTTAAACTTAAATGCAGGTATTCCTCAATATATTTACACTTAAAGTGACTCTATTGAAGTGTTAGCAATGCTTGATTCGTGGTTCATGGAATCAGATGAACATATATCACAATGGTCATGAAGCTTTCAGAACTGGTAACATCAGCTTTTGGCACCTCATTTATTCTTGGAGAAATATGACCTTTCTCTATGGATTGTTGGACTAGCTGAATAAACTGAAATGAGTGAAGTGCTCTCTCTGCACCTCTTTGAAAGGAGCTACTGCTGTTCAAAGTTGGTCTAACACTTCAACTGCTTCTGGTTTCAGTTGCTAATCCAGTAATTTTATCACTTGATAAATTTAAGCAGAAAACATGTCTTGCTTAGTGCTTTTAGATTATTGATACCTTAGTGCAGGCCATAATAAAACCAGTAACTTCTGAAAACTTTAGTAACTGTTTTTTGCTAAGCTTATATCATCAACTATTCCATCCTGCTTAGCTCTGCTGCAGGACTTCATAGCTCAGGACCTCTCAGCTGGACGCATAGGGCAGTAGCTTTCAGAAATGTCCATTTCACACAGAGCTTGGTTTGGGTAGAGCTGTCCTGAACCTCACATCCCCATTGTACAGTTAGCTGAAGGTGCATGTCTGCAGTGGAGGCTGGGTCATGAGTCCAAGTGTGTCTACACAGCTGTCCTCTCCCCTGATGGTCTCTGGCTTATCTAGTGACTTTCTGTGGCTATCCAGTCTAACTGGGGATAACATTTTGGGCAACCCTTTGCTTGAATTCCAGATTACCACCATCAAGGAAGGAGTTAAGCTGTCTCATGCACTGGTTACTTCTCATTCCCTGCTGGGGAGACAGAAGTAGCATTTGGTCAGTGACCTACCAAGAGGTCCCAGGACGAGAGCAAGTGTCCATCCCTCAATTCCTGTCCCCAAGGCGTTATCTGTCAGTTTGACCAAAGCTTCTGCCAGTGTTCTGGCCTAAATCAGTTGTATTGAGATACAGGTACTTGATTTTTTTGATCCCTGACTTATTCAGAACTTGCTTAAAGGAGAGAGGTGAGTAGACCTTGGGTGTTTAAGGTATGATTTCCTCACAGCTGATTCAGATATTGAGGTTTTTTTGAATGACAAAGGGAAGACTTCTCAGAATAAAATGTTTCCTGCTAGGGTCATAAATGGAGTTGTTTCTTTCTTCAGCTGGGGAGAACATGGTGTGATGGAACAGATCTGTATTAGCTTGAGCTATGCGGTAGTTGTGAATTGCTCTTGAAATTGTGGGAATATTTCTCCGGCTTTTCAGACAATAACTGTAGTGGAGGAGCAGATGATACTGTAGCCTGCAGAACTGCATGTAAACAGTTTGTGCATGCCACCTTAAGCCACTCTTTCTTTGCATCCGCTGTTTAAATGGGGAGCAGTATAACAGAGCTTATTAAGCTGCAATCTGGTGATGATAGGTGTTAGTTGTGATAGATATCAATGGCTGAAGTTTTTTGTATGGTGAAACTCTTGTCATATCAGTTGCCGGTTGGTCTCTGGGTAACGTGTCTGTCTGCTTTGAAATCGATGTCATGCTTCAGTGCTTGAGCCTTCAAAACTTGGGGACTGATAAACTTGAGGGTTTTAATCAAGTGATGCTCTGAGGACACTAGCAAAACTATTAGAACATGCTTCCTGGTGGCTTACTTAAAGTTCTGTATGTTTGCTGCAGTTGTACCTTTGCAGCACAACTTCTGTCTTCTACAAATGTAAGTCTTCGCATTTTATAGTTGAGTAGTGTTCTGCTTAGGTTGTGAGCAAACCTTTCAGTGAATGTGCAGGTAAAAGTTTCTGTTTGTAAAATTTCCTATTAATCACATAGAACTGCCTAAAAGCACAGTTTCACCAAGTATGCTGTGTTGAGAGGCATGTTTAATGTGGAGCAAGAGTCAATATTAAAAGCTCCTTCAGAGGTGATTTGGGCTGGGTAGATGAAAAATGAGTATACCTAACATGAAAGGAAACAAGCAAAATTAACTGGTATTGTTAGTTGCTGTTTGACGGTTCTTCTCTTAAGGCAATTTATTTCAGAAGGTATTCCTGCTACTTGAATGAGCAAGTCTTGACATGTAAGCTGGTGTGTGAGGGGGAAAGCAAGCATTATGCTTAGTTTTCTTAAGTAATTTGGGGGCTGAGGCATTGTTCTCCATGGTTTTTGTAACTTTTTAACCATGTGCTGAGTTCTGTGTTGTTGGATCTCAGCTTCTTCCAAGGGACTTGCTTGAATTCAAAGCAACTAGCAGGAATATATTTTTCATAGCAGATCAGTACAGGACTTTCTCCCACTTGTCTGATAGCAAGAATGAGTACTATATTCAAAAACTTGATACTGTAGACCAGTGCCCAGAAAGCTTGAAATTAAATGCTCAAGAAACTTCTATTTGTTTAAATGTTCTACCAGTTACATAGTTCTAACATCGCAAAAATATTTCTTGGGTAGAGCAGTCCTGAACCTCACATCCCCATTGTACAGTTAGTTGTTACTTCTACTTCTCTTGAAGTGTGGTACTATCTGCACAGAAGCTGACTTCTACAAGCCTCTGAATTGCAAGCTCATAGAGAATTTCTCTCAGTGTACATAATTTTCAATTTTTGTTGCCTTTAGGTATCATCGCTAATAAGCAGAGGTTTGCAACTAAGGGGCATGGAACTGCTTATAAACAGAATGTGCAGCTGCTGCTGCAGGTCTCAAGAGCTCCCATGTGGAGCTGTCAGTCCCTGAACTGGAAGAACAGCTAAGCCATCTGCAAGCAGGGAGGGAAGATGCTCGTGATGCTGGT